AGCGTAACTAGCATTGCCATTCGTAGATCCCTCACGATCCCTCATGCACGGCTAGATCTAGGGTTCCAACGATTGCTTCAGCTCCATGGGCTAGTGCATGCAACTTTCTCTTTCAATATCAACTAGTCTCTTGATTTTGAGATGTTTCATATATTTTATACTAGATTTCGAGAACTTTCAGTTGATTTGAGTTTTTTTCAGTAGTGTTTTCTTTTTGTTCCAAATGCACTTTTGCCAAAGGGTATTCTCATTTTGGCTGGATTATAGTGATACTTTCTCTTCCATGGTTAAAGTAACATTTGTTCGTCTTTTTCTATCTATGGCTTGCCATACGCCATTGGCCTCCTCATCAGTTTGACATTAAGAATGCTTCACCATGGTAATCTTAAGGAAAAAGTCTATGTGAAACAACCACCTAGTTTTGTTGCTCATGGGAGTCTATTAGCCTTGTATGTCATTGCGCAGGTCATTCTATAGTTTGAAACAGTCTTGTCGAGCTTGGTTTGAAAAGTTCAATATAGTAATTTAGGAGTTTAGGACTCGTATTAGAGTTGATCACTCTGAGTTTTGTCGACATTCTACAACAATTCTGTGTATTTATTTGGTGGTTTATGTTGACGATATCGTTATCACCGACAATGATCAGGATAGTATTACTAATCTGAAGCAACATCTCTTTCAGCTTTTTCAGATTAAAGAACATGGCAAATTGAAGTATTTCTAGTATTGAGGTTGCTAGTCCAGATCAAGTATGTTATTTCACAATGCAAGTATGCCTTCGACATTCTTGAGGAGACAAAAATGGTGGGATGTAGGCCCATTGACACTCCTATGGATTTGAATGCTAAACTCTTTCCAGGATAGGGGGAGCCATTCATTGATCCTAGAAGGTATTAGTTGAAAATTTCAATTATCTTACGGTGACTAGACCTACCATTTCTTTTCCTCTGAGTGTTGTAAGTCACTTTATGACTACCTCCAATGATAGTCATTGGGATGCAGGTAATGGACTACTCTTCGAGAATCGAGGCCATGAACTTATCATTGGATATGCAGACGTTGAGTAGGCAAGATCACCCTCCAATAGATGTTCTACATTCAGATATTGTGTCTTAGTATGAGGCAATTTGGTATCCTAGAAGAGTAAGAAACATAGTGGAGTTGCTCGATCTAGTGTAGAAGTTGAAAATCGAGCAATGGCTGTAGCAACTTGTGAGCGAGTTTGGATTAAATTGTTGTTGAGAGAACTAAAATTTGGAGAAATCGATTAGATGGAACTTGTCCGTGATAACCAAGCAACCCTTCATATCACATCAAATTTAATATTTCATGAGAGGACTAAGCACATTGTAATTGATTGTCACTTTGTCAGAGAAAAGATACCCTCGGGAGATATTGTTACAAAATTTGTGAAGTCGAGTGATCAACTTGCAGATATCTTCACCAAGTTCCTCGTTGGTCCTCGTATTAGTTACATCTATAACAAACTTGTAGACTTATATGCACCAGCTTAAGCGGGAGTGTTAGAATTAGAACAAGAACATGAATAGTATATAGAATCCTACTCTGATAAAGATTATAATATACTCCCTCTGTCCCAATTTATTTGACACTTTTCGTTTTTCGAGAGAAACAATTTAAGTTTGATCGGGAATTTGCGCATGAAATCTTCAATTTTTTTGAAATGAAATTTATATATTTGTAAACTACGTAAAAAGTACTATAAATCACAATAATTGATAATTCAAAATGTTTAAAAGATCTATGAACAATTTATGGTCAATGATAGACTTGTTTGAATCTCGAAATCCAAAAAGTGCCACATAAAATGGACGGAGGGAGTAGTGTCTATAAATAGGGCTCATTGTAATGAAGTAGATACACATTTCAATATTATTTTTCTCTTATATTTATCACAAGTAGGAACTTTTTGTGGCAACTGGCAAGGGGATAGAGAATGGAAAGGATACCATTTGGTTAAATGGAAGGCACTGACAGTTGAAAAGAGATATGGGGGATTATGAATTAAAATCTTGAAGTTGAGTAGGGCACACAAAATGAAATGGTTATGGAAGCTCACTAATGACAACCAGTTATTGTGGGGGGAAATCTGATAAGAATCGGGTTACCAGAATAAACAAGAAAATAATGCGGAAGTGAAATTATAAAGATTAAAGACATAAATTGAAAGATATGTGAAATTCAAGAATAAAATTCCCAATTTCAAGATAAAGTGCTAAGAACCCTAATTGATCTTAGTATTCAAAATTAGCGGATTAAGACTAATTATGATACTAATAGAGTCAATTCAAGAATTTAGATAAAAAAGTGATCTAGACCCCTATTAGGAAGAAATTAGAGACAACAATTAGTATAAGACTAATCACCTTCTTTAATTTACGAATAGAAACCAAAGATATCAAATTAAGAATTAATCTTATCTCTTAAAGAATCGTTCTTATAAAATAGTCACCACACACAAAGGTGTAAAGAAGAGAAACCTCTCAAATAATATTAATCATGTCTCTCTAAAATAATAAAAATCAACCCCTATATATAGGGAAAACCTATCCCAAATAGAATATGATTTAAATCCTACTTTTATGGAAACTTTAAACTAGGAAACTTTTAAACTAGGAAACTTTAAACTAGGAAAACAAAAAAACTTTAAACTAGGAAACTTTTTAAACTAGGAAAACTCTAAACTAGGAAACTTTTAAACTAGGAAATTTTGACTTTAAGCATTCAACTTTTTGGGCTCTTTTATTGGGCTTCGTGTGGCCCAATCTTCTTTCTTTTGGACTTGAATTTGGACGCTTCTTTCATGATAAACATATTCTTGATTTTTCATTGAAGCCCGTCAACTTCAATACAAGTAGGCTGACATGGATGCTATCAAAATCAGTAAGCAAAATATGAGGAGGAAGACATTTCTAAAGAGGTTACTACACTCTATGGGGTGAGCTTGTGGATATCCATCAGAAACTTGTGGAGTGAATTCAAAACCAATACCAAGATCGAAGTATTAAATGGGGAAAAACTCTTTTCTGGAAGGATGATTGGCAAGCTTGCAAACTAGAAATGCTCTTTCCAAATATATACAACCTTGCTATACATCAACCAAAGGCTATTGTAGACTTGTGGACAACTCAAGGTTGGAGCCTTATGTTTGGAAATTGGAAGGCAGTTAAATGACTGTGAAATACTACGAGTGGCTCAACTTTTTTTAGCACAATTGAACAATTCTGTGGGCTTTAGATAGGAGAAGATCCTTGATGGCGGCTGAGCAGTAACAACTGTTCCTTCAAGGTTAGTGGAACTTACATAATGATGAACCATTCCAATCAACAACTCAACTATTGGCCTTGGAAGCTCAATTGGAAAAGTAAAATACCACACAAAGTAGCTTGTTTTGTGTGGCTTTTGGCTGAGGAAGCAGTCCTTACACAGGGATCACTTTATGCTCCACTTGTTTCTTTTGTGGGGAAAAGATTGAGACAATTAATCATCTATTTCTACATTGCTTTTTGAGATAACATGGCAATTTTGGAGCATATTTGTAAACCTTGAAGGAAGATATGCCATTAAGGTTACCACAACCAACAACCAAACAGTTGGCCATGGAAGAACATTTGGAAAACCAAAATATCATATAAAGTGGCATGCTTTGTGTGGCTTTTGGCAAAGGAGGCAGTGCTTACCCAAGAGAACCTAATGAAAAGAGGGATAATTTTAAGCCCCATGTGCTTCTTGTGTGGGGAGCAGGCAGAAACTGTGAATCATCTAATCCTACATTGTAGAATCACAGGACAACTATGGAGATTGTTTTTGAACCTCAGAGGAATAGCATGGAGCATGCCTGGGAAAATTACAGAGGTAACAAGCTGGGTTGTTGGCCAAGAATAGAGGCAGGTGGAGGATAGTCCCAGCAAGCATTTGGTGGACAATATGGAAGGAGAGGAATTCTAGGTGTTTTGAGAGCATAGAGAACAATATGCAACAGATTAAGCTTAGTTGCATCTTGCTACTGTGTTTTTGGTGTAATCAGTTACTTTTAAATGATCCTGTCTCTATCATTGATGTTTTAGACTCATTATAGACATAGGATCATAGAATCATAGAATCATAGAATCATAGATGTAGGTAGTACTTTGTAAATATGGGGCTGCTACAACTCTTGTAAGATTTGGATTCTAACATATATAGAAAAAGTTACCACTTTTAAAAAAAAAGATATGCCATTAAGGTTTCAGAGGCACTCAAAAGCTGGGAAGGAAGCAGGTCTGCAAGCAAAAGACAGAAGCAGACGAGAATTGTTCCTACTTGCATCTGGGGGACAATCTGTAGGGAGAGAAACTCTAAATGTTTTGAAAATGTGGAGAATAGTATGGAGAAGATCAAGCTGAATTGTCTCTTGATCCTATGCTTTGTGTAATCAGATGTACTCAAATGAAACTGTTTCTATTATTGATGTTTTAGATTCAATTTAGTCATAGACACTAGAATTTGGGAGCTCTTTTGTATATATGGTTTCAATACAAGTACAACCCAGGTATTGCTTTGATATATATATATAATACTGTTTCCAATTTCAAAAAAAAAGAAGTTCAAAATTGTGCTAGCCTATAGTGTAGATTGTATACATGTACTTCACGAGTTACTTTAATGACATTTTAGTAGGGAATCTGGTTACATTTTTCCTTAATGAAATTAATGACCACGTTATAGAAAACTCTATAGAGTTGCAAACATTATTTTTTGTAACTTGTTGTTGAGTGAGACCTATTTATCTTGAATATCTATTGTTTTGTGGCCAATCATTATGTGTCGCTTATAATGCAAGAAGCTTTAACATCTCAGGTCATTTAATCATTTCATGAACTTTTGTCCTTTTTAAGGAGGATGACATCTATTGCAAAGCCTATGTTTGGTGCATAAGTTGCATATTGCTTTGTTCAAGCATGATTGTTCTCCTAAAGTATTGCCATTTTCTTTTCCAGAGCTGGAGACAAGAGCTGTTAAAATGACACAAATGTACTGTGAAAATCTCCCTCTATCAAAAGAATTGGATGCTCAAGAGAGTATGTATGGTGAAGATCTTTTGTCTATGGCATGTAACTTGTTGGTACAGGTTTGTATTTTTCCATATGGTATTACAGTGCTCTATTCATTATGTATTATTACAATCACAAATATGTGCGACTCGAAAGCCATCAGGGACCCTTTTTGACTTCTGCAAGTGTTTGACAAATATAAAAATAACTTAAAAAAATTCAAAAATGACTTAAAATAAGTTAGGAAGTGTTTGACAAGGTTAAAAAAACTAAAAATAAGTTTAAAATGACTTAAAATAAGTTAAAAATCAAAAGTAGGCCTCCCCTACTTATTTTTTGATCTAAAAGCCATTTAAGTTTGACTTTTTATTTTTGACTTAAAAGCTACTTTTCTTAAGCCAATCCAAACGGGCTCTAAGTGTCTTAATTTGTTGAATGGCTGGTGTTATTTGTCCCCTATAAACTCCCCTGACAACTTTTTTGATTTTGTTAGCTCCTTATCTTTAGTATAGGACTCACTGTAATGGAGCCAACACACCCACTTTTGATCGCACTCTTTTGTGTACTATTTGCATCTTCTTGATGCCTTTAATGTAATCTATTACTTCATCAAAAAAAATATGTGACTTGAAAGCTGCAGCTTCAAACTGCACCATATTATGTCTAATAGTTTCTATTTTACAAGATGTTCCTTTAAATGGATTTCTAGTAATTAAAGACCAAATCTTGTTATCTGACATGTTTTCTTGGTTGGTAGCTCTGAACATGTTGAAGTGTGTGACTATTTCATCTAAAAGATTAAGCTGTTAGCGAGAGAAAACTTTTTATTTTACTCGATTATGTCTTAAACATGTTTCTAGTGTGCAGGCTTTGATTCTTTTTGATGAGCTAAGCACATGGAAATTCTATTCAATAATGATCTCAATATCATATAAAAGTTTAAACAGTATCTTTTCTTCTAATTTCTTTCTTGTCATTACATCCACACTCCTTACTAGTGTAATTGGCACACTTTTGTCATATATCTAAATCTATGCCACACAAGCATGTCTAATGGTTGATTTTCTATGTGTCTATGCATGCTTTTTTTGCCAAATAGAGGTGTTAAGTCGAGGAAAGTTCTTACAAGGGCTGGTTTTGCAAAACCGCACAAGTTACTTTGATTTAAGTATAGTTTGTATTGATTTTTTTTTTATTTTTTTATGTTTTTGCAATTTTGTTTTTACATTTTAATTAAGTAAAATCAAAAGCTTACTTAAGTTTTTATAATAAATATTTAATATAAGTTATCTATTTAAATTATACGAACTGTAAAGTGAATATGTAGATGTTTTTTTTTCTTTATTTGACACTCAATCACTTTTGAAAAGATGGGCTAAACAAAACCGTATCTCTAGTACTGACCAAAGCACTTTTCAATTGGATTGTCCCAAAACAAACTACAGTTCTCCACATGAGTTTCTCTGTTAGTCCTTTTTGGCAGAAGTGCTTTCAAAATAAGCATATTTGGGAGATTGCCTTTACTGTCTTTGAGTATGTTTAGTGGTTGCTTTTAGCTTTGTTTATCTTTTTACTATAAGGTGATATGTTTTTTCATAATTTCCAATTGTCGAGTCAATATCTTACTTTCTATTGACATAACAAGGAGAAGTCTTGTTATTTTTTCTTTGTGTAACTGTCTAACTGATTAATCTTCTTACCCTGGCTGTAGCTCTTTTGGCGTACTAGGCACATCGGGTATCTGGTGGAATCAGTTATGATCTTGGAATTTGGCTTGACAGTAAGAAGGTTAGAAGGTTTAAATTCTTATATGGCTTCTAATTAGCACATTCCTAATTCACTAACCCATTGATCAGATTTATACCTTTCATGAATGTGCAAAAGAGCAAAACCATGTTAACTGATGGATGGCTTACACAAAATGTCCATAATATGGTAGACTTGACTGATGGATCCCGTTCTTGTTTTTCATTCTAATTTTGAGGGTCATGTCTTGCACAACATGCACTTGTTGCCTCTCCAAGACAGTTGTGAGAAATATTGGGGAAGAATATTATTGAATTGTGTATCTACATTATTACATAGAGATCCTATTTATCTAAAATACAATCTTTGACCAATTAGGAAACTATATATTATTCCTATTCCTATTACTATTCCTTTTCTAAAACTCCCCCTCAAGCTGGTGCATACAAGCCATATGTACCTAGCTTGTTACAAATGTAATTAATATGAGGAAAGATGAGGTGCTTGGTGAGATATCTGCAAGTTGATCACTTGACTTCACAAAAGTGATAGTCAATCTCAATGTGCTTAGTCTTCTCACACAATACTGATTTGATGCAAAATGTCAATAAAGTACAAAGTGATTAATTCCTAAATTACAGTGTGAACTTCCCAAACCAAGCTTCAAAAGACTGTTTCGGACCATAGAGTGACTTGCACAATCAACATACAAGGCTACTAAACTTCCCTTGAGCAACAAAATTTGGTGGTTGCTCCATATAGACTTATTCACCATGCACAGTCGCCAATAAGTGCTCAAAATCAGGTATGAATATATGGATCATCTTGGAAATCAATGGATTAACCGATATTAAACAAGAAAGTCACTTTAGTTACTTGTTCCTAAAAAAACAAAAAAGTCACTAAAAAATGAACCGAAACATGCTCATACGTCAGAGTATTAGATTTGATGACCGAAAGTGTTCACACTCCGAGAAATAAAAGTATATCGGTTGGGTCGGAAACTCGAAATGATGGCATGACCATATTGAGAAAGAGAAATTATATGGGTAGGGTCAAAATGATGGCACGACTGTACTGCAAAATAAAAATTATCTGGGTAGAGCCGGATTGACGACACAACCCTATTGAAAAAGAGAAATTATATGGGCAGAGTCGGATTGATGACAGGCCCCTACAGAAGATGAGAAATTATATGGGTAGGGTCGGAATGATGACACGACCCTACACAAATAATAAAGTAGTCATCGACAAAAATGATGTTACACAAATCAGATATAAAAAAGTAGTCACCGGAAAGATGTCATGGTGCTATACAAATCAGATATGAGAAAGTAGTCACCAGAATGAGGGCACGGTGCTACACAAATTGTATATGAGAAAGTAGTCACCGGAATGATGGCACGGTGCTACACAAAGTAAATATGAAAAAGTTGCACCGGAAAGATGACATGGTTCTACACAACTTAAATATGAAAAAATAGTCACCGAAATGATGACACTTTGCTACAATATTAGATATGAGAAAATAGTTACTTGAAAGATATACGGTGACCCAACTTTTGCGAACATAATTGTTGGCCAGACGGGTGGTATATATGGGTAGTAACCACCTGCCGGCAACAAAAGCTCTTTGATTCTCTACCAAGATCGTAGATGGTAAGAGTGCTAAGAAATTGATTTTAGTATTCAAAACTAGTGGATTAAAACTAAGATTAAAACTATGACTTCAGTTATAGTAGAAAATAATACTAAAGCAATGGTTGAGAAGCTAGTGTTAGGGAGAAAACTTTAGTTGCTCGAACTCTTCACTTTTGGTGCCGCACCCGTGTCGACACGACATGGGTGTGGGATCTGTGTCCGATTTGGTTGATTTTGGGTCCTTTGACCAAAATCAATGGAGAAAGTCTAGACAACTATAATGATTTCTATAATCAATACAAAAGCTAAGGTGAAATTGAAGAAAATGAAATACCTTTTATATAGAAATTTCTATGTCACTCATTTTCCTTTAATGTCCTTCCAAGATTCTCAAGATCTCCACATAATATCTCATAATTTAGGTTTTATACCTCTAATTTTAGATATGTTATTAATTATATATAAGCGAATTCCCACACCTGTTTCCATACATGGATCCATATCCCCAAATCTTTAAAATTAGATCTTGATGGAACCAACCTCTAGATCCACATCCGTATCGGGCACCCACACCCCAGTCTGAGCAACTTAGGAGAAAGCCATAGTGTCAAAATTAGCACATAAAATCATGACCCCCTCGACCTGATTATGTTTGGGTGGGTTAATAAACCACTTATTTTATTAATTGGGCTCATTTTTGACCTGTTTAGTTCAACCCATGGTTGATATGCAACCCAAATTAATTCATGAGCTATGTAGCTCAGACTCTTCAAAAAGGTCAAGGGGTGCGTGTCGGATTTGCCAAAAGTAGTTTATTTTTGCAGAATCCGATACGGGTGCGGCATCAAAAGTGAAGAGTTCACACAACTTAGCCGAAATGTTTAGCTCTTTTCTATTTTTGGTGTAAACATGAATATCCTCATGAAGATGAGGATATCCCTAGTATCTTACAGTCCTTAATGTTAGTTTTCTGAACGTTAAATTCGAACCCTGAGCATCTCTCATTTCTTTGACGGTGGCCACTTTCTGTAGACTCAAGCTGAATAGGTCAGGGAAACTAGCTTTAAGTGAAGCTTGTCCCACCCAAACTTCCTCACAAAATAGAGTTTTTCCACCATTTCCTATCTTAATTGTGCACTTGTTTATAAGTTTTGGCCATAGATTCCTGATTGTCCTCCACACTCCAGTGCCATATGGTTGTGTTGCTATGTTGCTGATCCACCTTGTCTCCATTCCATAGCTAGCCTTGATGGTATCTTTCCACAGCGACTGCTCTTGTGATGCAAATCTCCACAGCCATTTCATTAGCAGGCTGTGGTTTTGTATTTTCAGATTCCTTGTTCCTAGTCCCCCTTCTTTCTTGCTGACTAAAACTTCATTCCACTTAACCAAGTGAAACTTGTGCTTATTTGGATCGCAGTTTCCTTGCCAAAGAAAATTTCTTCTAATGGCATCTAATTTGTCTCTTACACTTGCTGGCATAGGGTACACCGACATCATGTAGGTAGGCAAAGCATCAAGAACACTGTTGATGAGAGTAGCTCTGCCACCCAGTATGACTTTTCCAATTGGCAAGCTTCTTCTCGCATTTCTCCAGTACATTGTTCCATATGCCTTTTGATTTGCTCTTATCTCCTAGAGGCATTCTCAAATATATTGTGGGCAGCTCCCCTATCTTTCCTCCCAGAATATTTGCCAGACTGTCAATTCTAGGTACCTCATTGACTGGATAGATGTAACTTTTGCCCAATTAATGTGTAGACCTGAAGTTGCTTCAAACAATATCAATATTATTCTTAAAAACTTCAGTTGACTGATGTTTGCATCACAAAATATTAGCGTGTCATCTGCATATTGGAGATGTGAGATGGCTAGACTCTGTCTATCCTCCATGTTTGCATTGAATCCCCTTATCCAGCTGTTTGTCTGGGCTGTTCTTAGCATATCATTGAGACACTCCATTGCCAAGATAAAGAGAAAAGGAGATAATGGATCCCCTTGTCTCAAGCCTCTCTTAGATGAGAAAAAACTTGTGGGAGAGCCATTAATCAAAACTGAAAATTTCACTGTAGTGGTGCAAAATTTGATCCATCCATCTTTCCCCAAAACCCATGTTTTCCAAAGTCTTCCATAGGAAACCCCAATTTAAGTGGTCATAGGCTTTCTCTATATCCAGCTTACAAAGAATGCTTGGGGCGTTGCTAATTTGCCTCACATCTACACATTCGTTGGCAATAACAATAGCATCCATGATCTGCCTTGCCCTTAATAAATGCCATCTGATGTGTATCTACCAGTTTTGAAACAACTTTTTTCAGCCTCTCAGTCAACACTTTTGAGATGATCTTATATATGCTACCTATTAAGCTAATAGGTCTAAAGTCTTTTAGTTCTTTGGCCCCCAATTTTTTTGGGGATCAAGGCTATGAAGGTGGCATTGAAGCTTCTTTCAAAAATGTTCTGATTATGAAAGTTTTGAACTGCTGCCACTACTTCTTTGCTTACTATTTCCCAGCAATTGGTGAAGAATGCCATGGTGAATCCATCCGGCCCAGGTGCCTTGTCCCTCGCACATGCCATCACACATTCTTTGATCTCAGCCTCACTAAATTGACATTCTAGCATTAAGTTATCTTCTTCACTGATAACAACACCTGATCTATGGTTGAATTGACGTCTCCATATCTCTGATTCTGTATACAACTTCTGATAAAATTTGACAATCTCCTCCCTGATCACTGATGAGTCCCCTGTACACTCACCATCCACCAGAAGTTTGTCTATATTATTCTATCTTTTGTGACAGTTTGCAGTTCTGTGAAAAAACTGTGTTTTTGTCACCTTCTTTCAACCATATAGCTCTGGACCTTTGTCTCCATGCGACCTCCTCCTTTTTTGCATTTTCCTCAAACTCCACAATGAGAGTTGTTCTTAGATAGATCTTGTGAGAAATATTGGAGAAGAATATTGTTGAATTGTTGTTTTAATTATTACATAGAAAACCCTATTTATAGACACTATAATACAATTCCTTACCAAATAGGAGACTTAAACTATTCCTATTCTATGTAGGATTGTGTATACCTATTCTATTCTAACACTCCTCCTCAAGCTGGTGCATACAAATTATATGTACCTAGCTTGTTACAAATGTAATTAATACGAGGACCGGTGAGGGACTTGGTGAAGATATCTGCAAGTTGATCATTTGACTTCACAAATTTGGTAACAATATCTCCTGAGAGTATCTTTTCTTTGACAAAGTGACAATCAATCTCAATGTGCTTAGTCCTCTCATGAAACACTAGATTTGATGCGATATGAAGGGCTGCTTGATTATCACACACAAGTTCCATATGACCGGTTTCTCCAAACTTCAGTTCTCCAAGCAACTGTTTGAT